AGTAATAATTAATAAATACAGTTAATACATACAATAATATTCAATATATACAGTTATAATTATATAATAGTAGACTATTATGTAATTATATTACAATAGATTATATAGTATAATTAATATATACAGTAATATTTAATTGATAAAATACAGTAATAATAAATAAATGCAGTTAATGCATACAATAATATTCAATATATACAGTTATAATTATATAATAGTAGACTGTATGGTACAATTCTACTGGCAGTGATTAAAAATACTCAGCAAAATTCGTAGCTGAGTGAAAAATTAACAGAAGGAACACAGAACACTGAGTAGTGTCGGTCAGGTACTATTGTCAGTTGGTTAAATTTCGGTGTCATTCGGTTCGTTAGGCGAGAAATATTTTTTTTTTTTCCTCGTCGTTACAATTTAGATGGATCGCTTTGTATACCGGTCGTGTTCAGACACGTCCAAATCTCTTTCTGCAGTTTTCTAGAAATGTCTGAAGTCGCATCGAGAGGTGACAACGTGTGTCGGACGCAGACAGCAGTTTGAATTGCAATTGATGGCAAACGACGTGGGCGATGGAAAACGATAGATTTAAGTAACGAAGTAGTAACAGGCACGTCTAGCCAGACGGAGGGGCAAAGTAGAAACAGAAGCATCGCGGGCGTCGAAACACACACACAACGTTCTATTAATAAATCGATCGATCCTGTTCGCAGTGTTATCAGAAGGGGAAAGAGCCCTCGCCGAACAAAATGTCAAGATTGATACGACAATCGGCTGCCATTGACGAGTCGATGCCGCCGGCGCGTCGCCGCGAAAGTCAGCCGACTTTGTCGCCGGATACTGACGAAGGAGGTACAATCATTAACATCCACCATTATCGACCATTTTCATCCTTTCGCCAGCGAATGAAACTATCAATGTAACTCTAAATATAAATACACGTATCTATGTCCTAATTACAGTCTTTTAACACTACCTGTATCTCTCTCTCTCTCTCTCTTTCTCTCTTTCTCTCTGTGCACGAAGTTTCATTTAACTGTAGCATCGTTTCCAATCTTACTTTCTTTCACCCTTTGCACTCCTCTGTCGAGTAACAGTTTTTTGTTACATTTGCATCGCCGAAGAGAAAAGGAAAGTGAAATAATTTGGAGTGCAAAGGATTGAAAGACACTCGTGAAGTGTCCTCTCGGCACGCATGATTTTTTTTCATTTTCGCTCTGTCTCTCTCTCTCTCTCTCTCTCTCTCTCTCTCTCTCTCTCTCTCTCTCTCAAAACTCGAGAGTCGCAACAGGCTCGTTCTTCCCTCCACTTCCTGCTGTCGATAACGCTCGCTCGCGCGTTCCCCTGTCGCTCGTAGAATTTGAAATTTTCTTCTCTCCTTCTCTCTCTCTCTCTCTCTCTCTCTTCTCTCGATTAATGACAGAAGGGGACATGACATTCTTTCGGGGGATTTTTCCTAAAGGTCGGAGGGCACGTAGGGACTCGTTAAGCCCGGACTCCGCCTCGTATCCACGGCGCCGCGACTCGAGGAGCCATCTGAGCCCGGACCGGGCCGTCGATAAAAGGGATATCAGTCCTATCAGGGAGAGATCTCAGCTGACGCGGCAGTCAATGTCGATGGCCGGTCGGTCGCCGCCCAGGTACGGAACGCTGCTCTCTCGCTTTATCGATTCACGGCTTCGTCGTGAAACTGCTGGCCAACGCGACGCTATCGATTGAGAACAGAGATTAGAAACTGCAATTAAACGCGGCTCGCGACCGCTGACTTTCAAAATTCTGGCTCCTGGCCATCGTTGTGTGAAATCGAATGACGTGAAACTCGCGTGTTTGAAAATGACATACGCAACGTTGACCTGACTGCGTCTCGAAAGTCCTGCAAGCCTCCTTCGTGCGTTGTTTCGCAAAATAAGCAGAAACATTAATTTTTCTTTTAACCTCTCGCGCTGAAATCTTTTGCCCAAAGAGTGCGAGCATCTTCTCAGTTTCGAGTATACATGTTTAAGTTATAATCCAGGCAAAGCAAGTAATAAAGTGATTTCTGTCAAGCGACACCGCACCCGAGTCGACGATTTTTATTGCGTACGATTCGCACGCTCGTTATGGTCCGCAATCCGGTGGCCAGCTCTCTGTTTCCTTCGATCTCGAGAAAAAAAAAAAATAAATAAAAAAAAGATAAACAACGAAGACTCTGCGTTCCGTAGGTCGCCGGACAGCTCATCCTGTTCCTCGAGGGACCCGAGCCCGTGCGCTCGTGCACCAGGAGGCGTATCGCACGCCCCGATCGCGAGAAGACAGTCGACCACCGACGAGATATTCATCGCTCGTGGATTTCGCCGACAGAGCACCATAGAGGAGACCATCAAGTGCCGAAATTTTCGTCGGCAGAGCTCACAGAGCGAGAAGCTGGTAAAGTATTTCGATTTGAATCCCTTGCGACGAATTTGGAAGATGACCTCGATCGATGTTGCGATTATTTCAGGTGCAACGGTACCAGGGACGAAGAGAGAGTTCCACACAAATCACCGACGGAACGTTCGCCACGATGTCCGTCGAGACGTCCAACACCTTTTTCGACAGCAGCACGCAGACTGGTGAGTGGTAAATTAACAACTACGAGAATACTACCTTGAAGCATTATCAATTTCTCGGTGGTGGTAAAAAAACAGAGGCAGCTCCGCGTTTAAGTAGCGCAGTCTGTGTATGATCAGACGCGTTACCACTTGCTTATCAAAGACAAACGAAACGATCGTTACACGACTCCCGTCACCAGCTGTGACTGTCCCATAGTTAATTTTTCACTGCAGTGAATTGTAGCAGGTTTCCAATATAATTCCAAGTTCGTCGCCGCGATCCTTTCACGAAAGATCGAGACTTCAAAAAAAAAAAAAATCTCTTCCGAAAGCTTCCGATATTATATTCGGGCAGCGAGACATCATCACACCGCGGAATCATTCCACCTCGATCGAATTTTCGCGCGGAAATTGGTGGCAAGCCTCGGCAAAGCGTGGAGTCGACGGCATGCGCCCTGACGCGACGTGCACAAGCTTCCTCGCGGACGCAGGCGTGGTACCAGCGGCTCTAGTTCGGACGGAGCGACACCGGGGTGCATGACAGTCGATAGACGAACCGAGGTGGAAACTAGCCTCGAAGAACAACCGCTGCTCCACCGAGCGTGTGCGTGTTCGAGTCGCGTCCTGGTGCTCTTCGACGAGCAGACGCCAGCCACCAGGTCTGTCTCCGACAGACAGGTCTCAACAGACAGGACAAACAACACCGCGACACCTTCAGCAGCAACCGTGATCGCGTTCTGATCGGCTTGTTGTCCTGATCGACGATCGAGTGATTAATTATCCCTGCGAGGGATATCATCGTCGTCGTCTGTGTTCCAACTGGAAACAGGATCAAGGATCAAGTCGCGAGACAGTTGGAGCCAAGTGGTTTAGCTTCGAGATCATCGAGGGCATCGTGTTGACGAACGATCACCTGTTCGTTTCCTATCGTGCAAAGTGTTTACAAATAGACCATTTCGACTCTGTTTGAGCCGACTCGATTGAAGACACAGTGTACGTCTCGTCGGTGGCGATCCAAATCTCGGATCCAGCTGTTCCGGGGTGAAATCGATTATCCATTTCGAAGGAATGGGTGGCGCCCTTCGAACGACGATCGAAAGATCCAGCGAGGGATCGATCGACTGACCGGATCCAGAGTGTCCCGCCCCGCCAGGACCTCTCTCGGTCTGGCAATAATAAAGCGGTTGTCCTTGGACCAGAGGTAATTATCAAGTGACCCAGTGTCCGACCAGTGACAGGACGCAACCACTTGTGGCGGATATCGCGCACATTATCACGGCCACTTGTGAATGCCGTGCTCGTGCACGGTGTGCCTCTGTTCGGTCAAACAGATAAAAACATCCAACGGAGATCGAGAGAAACGGGAATTTTCGTATTTTCAAGTTTGAGGAGGATCGTTCGTGTTCGATGGTCGGAGGCGGATCCTCCGATCGGTGGTGCGCGCGTTCGATGTTCGTTCGCGTTCGCAGTGTGACCGTGTGACATGTGACACGGGAACGACGAGCTGTGATGCGAGAAACGAGACGCGTGATGGGACGAGAGTGAAGGATTCGTCACGGTGGTGAAGGATTTCCTCTGGCCAACGACGGGATGAGGTTACCGCTTTTCGTCGAGCTGACGCTTCGTCGGAGGTAGGCTCGCCTCGTTCGTGCGTTGTTACGCGATTTATAAGTGTCTCTGTCTCGTCGATCAACCTTCTGCGAAACAATTTCGAGGAAGTAGATGAAACTGTTTCTATCGTTTTTAATATTGTACGAGTTGTATTTAATTTTTTTTTTTTTGTATTTAATTTAGTTGTATTTTATATTTTATATATAATTTATATTATATTTTGTATTTTATATTTAATCTATATTATATTTTGTATTTTATATTCAATTTATATTGTATTTTGTATTTTATATTTAATTTATATTGTATTTTGTATTTTATATTTAATTTATATTATATTTTGTATTTTATATTCAATTTATATTATATTTTATATTTAATTTATATTATATTTTGTATTTTATATTTAATTTATACTATATTTTGTATTTTATATTCAATTTATATTATATTTTGTATTTTATATTCAATTTATATTATATTTTGTATTTTATATTTAATTTATATTATATTTTGTATTTTATATTCAATTTATATTATATTTTATATTTTATATTTAATTTATATTATATTTTGTAT